GGAATGAGTGCGGGAGCAAAATTTCCTCGATTTCTGGAAGATTTTTAATTCATTTTCTTTTCATTTCCTTCTTCAGATTGCCCAGAAGGGACATACAACGACGGAAATGGCTTTGATTGCACAGGTACGTATGCAAATACAGTTTTGTGGTTTGAATGGTACCTGTCCAGTTCAATGTTATAGTGCATAGGTCTTTTCAACTCTTGATATCTTAACCTGTGTCAATTAGACGTGGGTATCTCGGAATTTTGGTTCCCTTGCGATCAATTTTGGATCTTTGGAATTATTTTCCCCGCGCACAACAGTCACTTCCACCGCATGAATAACTGTTAAAGTGCCCCTAAGACGAAAATCATTATTTCGGGTTTATTTGTTATAAAACCTTCGATCAATAACTTTTACCCCTCCCAAGTCGCCCAAAAGTCGTCCTCCATTACTTGGAAAACATGTTCTATCGGCCGGCAATCACAGCAGAGAGCTTCATCGTGACGTTAACAACTCAACGATCTTATGTCGCATTTACTTTTCAAATTCCTTTTTCTAGCTCTCTCTCTAGCTGGCTTTTACGAAATGTTTGGCAAATCTAACGAAAAATTGGCCGAATTATCTTCCGAATAGTCTGATAATAGTATGTTTCGTCAAACTATACCAATCTGAACTTGAATAAGTGACTACGGGTGGTACATCTTACTGTGTAATTTCATTCTCTCTTGAATTGTTTTCTGATTAAGTTAATTAGGTGTTTGCCTTGCAGCAGTAGCCAGGGGAACTATGAACGCCATTGTTACAATGGTAAAGTTCGGCAATACCTAAAAAACATGTTCTCGAGTATATTAATTGAACCTTACTGAAATAAATGGAATCGTCTCCATATTTCGACATAACACGTACTCAATCGAACCGTTCATACAGTATGTACCGAACCGCAAACAGATGTATTTACAAACCCACTCAAATGAAATGAATCGGACCGAATTCGTATGAGTTACACACATATCGACAACACAACATACAGAATTCGAACCACATCTTTGTTTAAATCTAATATAGAAGACATGGCAGTGCCGAGTTTATCTTTGAATGTTAATTGTATCTCTCAGACATTTTGTCATTTTGTTAGCCGGCGAAAATAGCCATTTCCGTTTTATTTTACAATCAATCGATGACCAAATGATATATCTTTCTTTCGTATTTTTAACCATAAAAAGTAAAAAAAGCAAGCGGAACGCGTTGACTTACATATCAACGAGATCGTGCTAGGTACGGTACGAGCTAAATAGGGAGGATATCTTAGCCCTAATCTTTCATCTGCGTTGTTGTCTCAAAGCAGTCCTCCTAAAAGTGTTCGTAGAAAATTGAAAAAAAAAGTCTGCTCAAATCGAACCCCTGCTCTCAGTTCTTTACTAGAATAGAACTTGAGCAGTATAGTTTGAGTGATTGTTGCAGTCTTGCAACACAAATCTCTGATTCTAACTGGTATTGAAAGTCGGACAGCCATCATAAATAGAGATTGGATCTCTATTATTGCCCAATGATAAGTTACTTTGTGAGTTTCTACGTTGTCTTTTTGACGTCACCTCCTTTCAAATCGTGCTCGGCCTTACATGAACTTACGGAAAATGATCAAATAATGGCGGCCGCGAAATGTCGAACTTCCGAAAAACAATCACTTCTATCCTCCGTAAAGAAAAATTAAAAGGGAACTTAAGCATCAAGCGTTCGTGATTCACGGAGACGAACCGGAAGTGAGATTTCGAATAATTTGCCTACTGCGCATGTCAAGAGGTCATCGTGACTTGTCACGTCGGCCGCCAAGGCGCTTGTGGCCTCCGTGCTGATTTTCCACGACCGCGAATGGTCTAGATTGTACATAGCAAAAAAAGCACAACAAAAGAGCTTCCCAAAATGGATTCGCACGAGGAAGGGAAAGAGAAGTCTTCGTAAGTACAATTTCATTTGTTTTTGTGTGCCGAGAATTGTCTTGTCACACTTAAACTCGACGCGACCTGTTTGCTTGAATACTTGCCTTTCTAGCTTTCTGCACACTCGTCTTTCATTAACAAAATCTTATTCAATAAAAATTTAGCTGACAATTTCAGTTTTTTGTTAAAACAACGCATTCATATAAACTTTTAGGAGTTTCTTTACCGACAGTTTCCTTCAGTTGGCAACCCCACATGCGACTTGTTTACGTTGTTAAGTGCAAGGTTAACAATTTAGAAACCCAAGTATGTATCAGTTACATAATAAAAACTAAGATTAATCAACTGCTTTACATGATTGTCGTGTGGGAATCCTATATATCGACTACGTTAAGATTTCGCCTAAAATGGTTAATGGATGAAGCATTCTTTAAGTTTTTGGGCAATTTATTCCATAACATGGCCCCGCTGTAAGAGAAGCTTCGTTTCAAATAATTGGTGTTTGGTTTGGACACGGCCAGCCTTCCCTCAGAGTTTCTTGTGTCGTACACAGAGTGATGCTGAGAGAAAAGACTTTGCAGATATTCGGGAGCAAGGTTGTTTATAATTTTATACATCATTATGGCTTTTTGTTTCTCTCGTCGAAGAGATAGCCTCTCCCAATCGAGGGTGGAGAGAAGGTGGTTTAAGCTCGTATCAAAGGGTAATTTAGTAATAATTCTGGCTGCTCGATTCTGTAATTTTTGGAGCTTATCGCTCAAGTAGCCACTTAAACAGTCCCAGACGGGGCTGCAGTAATCAAAATGGGGCATAATCAAAGCGTTATAAATTTG